CTGCAGCCCAGGAGATGACAGAACACCACCACAACGTGCTGCTTCCCTTCCACCCAGAAGCCACAGGGGTGGGGATAAGGACTGAAGCTCAGTGCACTCCAAGGGCACTTCCCTCATCTTCGCTGTCCAAGCACTTTGGCCTCTCTCCAGTTTCATGAAAGAGGGAAAGGGATGGAGCAGGAACAGCTGAGCTGGCCAGGAAGGAGACCTTCCCACCCCTCCAGCTTTCCAGGGGCCAGCTGGTGCTTGGGAATGCCACGCAGCACCTTTGGGAATCTGCAATTCCACCTGCACTGATGCCTTGCTGGCCACATCCCAGCTGGGAATGAAGGGAAATATCCCATGGCAGGCCAAAACAGCAGGGAAGGAGCAGCACAGCCTGGGAGCATCCTCCCTGTCCTGCTGAAGTCCTTCATCTTTCTGACTCAATTTTGACCCTCAAGACCTCGGCTCATCCAACATCTGGTCTTTGCCAACCAGCCAAGCCCAGAAGGAATTCCTCTCCTTGGCACCATCGTGGCACAAGGATGTCTGCTGGGGGCAACTGCAGTGAGGAAAGAGGAGGGACAGCCAAGGAGGGAAGATCCCAGTGCCTCAACCTAAACAAGGAAGACCTTCCTTACAGAGCTCTGACACCAGGACATGCCCCTCAATCCACGCAGGAGAATTTGGAGGGGATGCAAACATCAGATACCACAGGAAATAAAAATATTTATCTTAAAATATGGCAGAATTTTCACTTTTGGTGGGTTTTCTCCTCCCTTGGAGACCTTTGCTCTGCCCTAAGATTTAGTGGACCGTGGTTGGGGCGATGAGTGGTGGCGAATCACCAGAAAAAAGGGGGACAGTTGTTGCAATGCTCATCCCCTCCTGGTAGGGCTGGACCCTGAACTGCAGGATTTGGTGTCCCTGTTGCTCAGCTTCCCATGGAAACTGTCAGCATTGATGGGAAAGGACAAGGGGAGCCCCTGGGTGTGTCCACAGCTCTCCCTGAGCTGCTCCCACCCAGGAGGCAGCAAGGACAGCACCACAGGGACACCAAGGTGGGACATGTCCTCAGGGTTCTCACATGTGCATTCCCAGGAAAACTGAGACACTTGACCAGCTGCGGGAGAAGAAAAGAGGCCACCAGGAAATTTATTCCCATTTGTCCCCAACCCAACAGATGGATGTTGTCAGGGCAGAGATGTCGTGCAACGTGATGGCCACCATGGAAGGTCCCACCACCATGGAAGGTCCCACCACCATGGAAGGTCTCACCACCATGGAAGGTCCCACCACCATGGAAGGTCCCACCACCATGGAAGGTCTCACCACCTTGGGAACATCCCTCCACCTTGGGAACATCCCACTACTGGAGCTTCCCACCACCACAGAAGAATCCCACCACCATCAGAGCTTCCCATCACCATGGAAGCATCACAGCACCATGGAACCATCCCACCATCATGGAAGCATCCCATCACCTTGGGAACATCCCACCACCTTGGGAACATCCCACCACCTTGGAAACATCCCATCACCAGAGCTTCCCACCATCACGGAAGCTTCCCATCATCACCAGAGCTTCCCATCAGCATGGAAGTGTCACAGCACCATGGAAGCTTCCCACCACTATGGAACCACCTCACCACCAGAGTTTCCCACCACCTTGGAAGCTTCCCACCACCACAAGAGCATCCCACCACTATGGAACCATCCCACCCACCATGGAAGTGTTTCCACCACCACAATGTCCCACTGCCATAAGAGCATCTCACCACCACAACCTCCCACCACCATGGAAGCATCCCACCTCCTTGGAAACATGTTTCCCAAGGAAACAGAGCTTCCCAACACCACGAGAGCTTCCCACCACCACACGAGTGTCCCACTACCACAACATCCCACCACCATAAGAGCATCCAACCACCACAGTGTCCCACCACCAGAGCTTCTCACCACCACACCTCACCTCACCACTACTGGGGTGTCCCACCACCCCCCAAGCTTTGTAGGGTGCTCAGACCCCATAAATCAAGTGTTCCCAACCCAAGCAAGTGTTCCTCAGGCTCCCCAAAAGTCCCCTTGGACACAGTTTCTGCCTGTTTGGGCTGTTTTAGCCCAAAATAGGCTTTGTGGTTTGGAGTGGAGGAGGGAAGGAGTCTGTACACGCAGAAACACGGGTTAAAAATCTTCATTTTAAAGTAATTTAACAGCTGAAACTTTTCTTAAGAAAAGTCACTTTCGAAAAGAAAAAAACCCAAACCCACAAAGTTGCTCTAAAAAAACCTCTGAAAGAAGAAGTTGGACAAAAGCTGGATGACCAAGACCTAAGGGGTGCCTGGCAAGTTCCCTAAACTGGAGAGAAAGAGAGAATTACCCAAAAACAAGGGGGGGGGGATAAAAAATGGAGCAAGAAAGGGAATTGCATGGAGCTGAAGCAGAGAAGAAGGAAAAGCCAGGCAGGGACATGCTGATTAGTCTGGGAATCTGATGGGGAAGATGAAATTCAGCTCGTGGGGATGTGGGGAGAGGTGGTGTTCAGCCCTTCCCAGGGAGCAGCAGCTCTTGGGAAAGCCATGGGAACTCCAGAGATCCCATGGCTGACCCAAGGAGCAGGAAGGCTCCATGTGCAAACCAGTCCCACTTCAGCACTCTGGATAAATAATGGATTTCTGAGGTAACCCGAGCAGAGCCCTGCGTGTGATCCCTGTCCAGCCTCACACCCTGCTGAGTTTTCTTCCTGCAAAACCCCCTGAGCGGATCCTTGGGCTTAAGTTTCATCCCCCATGTGCTGTTCCCACTCTGGGCTCATCCAGGTCTGATCCCACTGGTCCTGCCTCAGTTTCCCTTCCCCTCCCATCAGTACTTTCCATCTCTGGACACGGAGCAGGGCTGAGGTGTCCCCATCTCCTCCTGCTGCCATCCCTCCCTCTCCACCCTCCCCAAGCCTTGTCCAGGCTTCCCAGCACGTTCTTTCCCCAAACCACCACTTTTTTCCCCCAAAGCACCCCTGCTGCCCCCCCAGCCCTGCTGCCACCTTCCCCTCCTTATGGGACACCTAAAACCTGGGTGATGAGTGGGAAGGCCCCATCTGGACAATCTGGATGCTGCTGAGGAGCAAACTCCATCTGCTTTTCAACACATTGGTTCCTCTTCCTGGGAGCCACACACAGCCCTGTCCGCTGCCCCCGAGTGGCACCAGAGCTCTCTGGGAGGACCCAGCGGGGTGTGGCAGATCCCACTGGTCACAGAGCCACTCCATGTCCCCGCAGCCAGCGGACACAGAGGCTGTGTGTCCCCAGGGCGGCTCCAAGGACAGGGTGGCACCGGCCTGGGCACAATGCCTGGCTGTGGCTGGGCTCTGAGTCCCCACCCCGGTGTCCGGGCCAGCGGGTGAGTGACCCCAGCACCGCTGGTGGGGGCTCTGGGCTGAGCAGCCTCTGCTGGGCTGGGCTGGGCTGGGCTGGGCTGGGGGTCCATCCCCCACGATGTCCCCAGGCTGCCCCGGGGCTCGGCCACAGCATCCCGAGGGTCTCCCATGGTGACCCACTGCCCCCCTGGTGGGCGGGGCCAGGCGGCCACACCCACCCCGCCAATCTACAGCCACCTGAGGCAGCCACGCCCACCGGAGCCCACCCAGCTCACCTGGGAGGGACACGCCCACCCACACAAGCTCCACCCCCTTCCCAAAACTACGCCCAGTTGTGCCAACACCTGGGTTACCTGGCAGGCAACCCAAGCTGGCCCCGCCCCCTGCTCACCTGGGCTGGCTCCGCCCACTCCGATAAGCCGCGCCCACCTGTGATAACCCCGCCCACTCGGCCAAGCCCCGCCCCTTGAGCAAACTCACGGTACCTGTCAGGCCACGCCCTCGAACACAGACCACGCCCCCTCTCCAGCCACGCCCCCTGGAGCTTCACCGCGCACCCCCCGCTCGTCCGCATCCCCCGCCCCGCCCGCACCTGGGCGCGCTCGAAGCTCTCCCGCTCCGCCTCCAGGCCGCCGCCGCCGCCCGCCCGCCGGCTCAGCACCTTGGGCAGCGGGTTGGCCACCTGCTTCATGGTGCTGCTCACGCGGTCCATGGCGGCCCCGGCCCCGCCGCCGCCCCGGCCCCGCTCCGCGCCGCCGCCGCGCGGGCCCCGCGCCATTGGCCCGCCCACCTGCCACTCACCGCGGGACACGCCCCCACCGGCTCCTCCCGCGCCCCGCCGGCCCCGCCCATCGCCCCGCCTCCTGACCATCATTGGTGAGTTGCGCTGCCACTCAGGAGGGGCCGCGGGCACTCGCCAAGCTCATTGGTGCAGCTGGACGCCACTCAATGCCAGGTCCCGCCCCTCTGGGAGCGCCCCGCCCTCCGCCCCGCCTATGGGCCGCTCGTCCTCAGCAAGGCTGTGGCCACGCCCCCCCCCGCCGTTCCCTTCTATCATTGGTCCTTGTGCCTGCCGCTCGCCCCGCGCGGCCCCGCCCCTGCCCCGCCCGTGCGCGGCGCCCCCTGGCGGCGGTGGGCGGGGGCTCTGAGGGGCCGCTCGGTACCGTCCCGGGCCGGACGGGCGGGGATGGAACAGGATGGATCGGGACGGGCTCGGCCGGGCCCAGGGCACCCCCGCGGAGTTCTGAGGGCACGGGGGGTTCGGGGGCCGCTGCCGAAGGAATCTGAGCCGCGGCTGAGCCCTCCGGGTCCGCAGGCCGGGGGGGGTCCCACAGGCCGTGCGTGCGGCCTGCACTGCTGGGCCTGGCTCGGCGCGGCCCCTTGTCCCCCCATAGCCCGGCCCGGAGTGACACGGCATAACCTGATCCGGGCCGGGGTCTGTGGTCCTGTCACCCATCAGAGACTTGTGCACAGTTAGATGGGATATTGGGAAGAGATTCTTCCCTGTGAGGGTGGGGAGGCCCTGGCACAGGTTGCCCAGAGGAGCTGTGGCTGCCCCATCCCTGGGAGTGACCAAGACCAGGTTGTACAGGGCTTGGAGCAACCTGACCTATTGAAGGTGTCCCTGCCCATGGCAAGGGGTGGAACTGGATGAGCTTTAAGGTTCCTTCCAAGCCAAACCATTCCATGATTCTGTGATTCTCTCAGCCTGGTGAATTGCTGGACTCTGGCTGGCTCCTGTTGTTTTTGACCAGGAATCCCATCCCACTCCAGAGGTGAATTTCCCACTTGGAACATTTCTGCAAAATTGGGACAAATCAGTATTTCTGTGAAGAGACCAAAAGCCCTGAGTCTGCTCCCAAATGAGTCCCCAGAGATGGTGAAGGGGCTGTGCTGGGGTGGTGCCAGCTGGGTTCCTGCATCCTTAAAAATGTGCCTTTGCTCCAGGTGGGGAGGAGCTGTGGAAAACCCTGCCAGGGAGATGGGGCAATCTGGGAGCAGCTGTTTGGAATGTGAGCTGTCAGGAGCTCTTGTGCAAGCAATTATCCCAACAGAACTCTTTTCTTGTGGCTTATTTTTTCAGCTGAAATCGTTACCACACCAGGACCCTCCTGGCGCTGCCCAGCGGGGTGTGGGATGGGCTGTGTGCATCCCGGACCTTCCCGCTCCCCGTGTCTGGGATATCGGATCCCAGCTGCTGGGAAATGGCCTGCATGGAGCAGGGAGGCCGTTTCTCCCACCCCAGACTGTCTGGACTCCCTGTCTGCCCTCTCCCTAATGCACTGTCTGGAAAGCTGCCTCCTTCCTTGGGGCTGCTCCCAGGGGAGGCTTGATGGGCTTAATTCAGCTACTATTGCAGCAAGGTGATTAATAATTGAAGAAATGAAGTCATTGCTGAGTAGAGATGGAGGAAAGGAGGGCATTGGACAAAGGACAGTGAGGGCTTTGTGCTCTGGACCTCTCCCACCCTCTGCCCAGCACGGAGCATCCTGCCCCTGAACCCCACAGCGAGGGACCACGAGGCTTAGACCTGTCTTAGCTGCCCCTTCTTGCTGAAGAGCAGAGTCACATTCTCCTCTTCCCTGTCCAGGGCTCAGAGCCCACTTTGGGACCTGGGCAGGAGCAGAGGAGGGCAGCTGGGTGTTTCTCCCAGCTGCTCCTGCCTCCTCCAGGAAGGGGCTGGAACAGGATGGAGCCGGGATCCAGCCCATGGGCTGCAGGTCAGACCCCCCTGGGCTGGCCTAGCCCATGCAGTGTCTCTGCTGGAATGTGCTGTGGGGCTCTGCAGGGGTTTGGGGGTTTTCCAGTGGGAGAGGGTGCCTTGTTTCCAGGCACTGAGAGAGGGGGAGGCACGGAGCTGTTTCTGTGGGGGTCTGTTCCTCTGCCTCAGGTTCCACCGGGAGATGATGGGGAAGGACTGGAAGTGAGCAGGGTGGAGGTGGGCTCTGCTCTTCTCCCCCACTAGCAGGTCCTTTTTGGAAGCCGTGGCTGGGGTTCACCTGCTCTGGTGCTCTGTCCTCGCTCCTGCCCTGGAGGCTGAACTGGAGGGTGATGGCAGAGCCCCTCATGGGGGTGTCTGGCCTGTGTGGGGACATTGTCTTCCCCAGTGCCACCCACTGTCACATTCCTGGGGCAGGAGGGTCTGGCTTGGGCTTGGGAACATGGTCACCTTCCTTGCTTCCAGTAGCTCCCTGGATTGTCTCACCTGAGTATCCTGTGCAGGATGGAGACCATGGAGAGGACACTGGGCAGCCCAGTGCTCTGCAGAGTGTGACACCCCTCAGGTGCTGCCTCAGGCTGGGCAGGGAGCATCCTTCATGCCCTGAGGCTCCTGTGCACAGCTCCTGCTCCACCAGGACAGCCTCGGAAAGAACCTGCAGCCAAAAGGAAGGAGAAGTGGCAGGAGAGGGGCCAGAAGGGACTGCAGTGGCTTTGGGCCCTGCCCAGGGCTCAGGGATGCTCTTTTCCCAAGGACTCAGAGCTAAAGGCTCCTTTTCCAACCTCCTCCCCAGCCAGAGCTGGGAGAGTCCCAGGGTGCTGCTGGGCCTGGCCTGGGCTCAGGGAGAGCACAGACTCCCCTTGTTCCAGCAGGAAAACAGAGGCACAGAGAGTTCCACAGTCCTCCCTCTGTTATCCTGCTGGCTGTGCCAGGGCACAGGGCTTTGAGCTAAGATCCTGCTCCTTTCCCCCTCCAGAGGTGGGGAAAAATGGATCCCCTTCAAATATGGATCCCAAATCCCTTCAGCAGCCCCTTTGGACACCCCAAGGCACAATGTCCTGATCCCACCCCAGCAGACACCCCGTCCCTATGGGGGCACATCTGGAAAGCCCCTCAGGGAGGGCAGTGGCCGTGACAAACCTTCCACAAACCCAATCCTGAGCCCCAAACACAGCCCTGCCCTGGTGATGGGGTGATTTGCTCAGACCCTGGGATAAAAACACCTTCTGAGCCCAAGTGCCCACCTGGAGGGCAGGTTGGTGGCAGGGTGGTGGTCCAGACCTGGCAGGAGGGTCCCTGAGGAGCAAGGAGTGTGCCAGGAGGAGGAGATGTGTGTGTGTGGGTGTTCATCTTTGGTCCCAGTTTTTGAATGTTTTGGGCAAACCAGATGCTGCTGCTGAGTTTTTGGCTGCTCGTGCTCCCAAAGAACCCCTGGGCTGCTCCATGGGGCAGGGACAGTCCTGGAGCAGAACCTGGGAGAGCACTGGGGGCAGAGCAACCTGGGATGGGAGAGGGTCTTGGAGAGGAGTGCTGTCCATGGGGCCCTCACCTCTGTCCTGCTGAGGTCTCCTGCTTGCCCAGGAGAGTTGTAACCCCAAAACATCACCTGATGTGTTTTCTGCACTGCAGCCTCAACAGCTGCCTCTGCTTATCCAGGAATTCAAAAGCAAAGCTGAGCAGGTTTCCATGTGGATCTGTAGGAGAAGACTTGAACCCCACAGGGACCTTGGGCTGTGGGGGTGGCTGCAGGTGAGAATCCAGCTTGGGAGCAGGACCTGGAGGTGGGAAGTGCTTGCCATCTGCTGGAGAGCTTCCCCTTGGCACAGGCAGCAGGTCCAGCTGGAGCATCCCACAGAGCCCAGGTCTCTCCCAAGGCAAACTTGCTTTCACAGAATCGTTAAAGTTGGAGAAAACCTCTGAGATCATCGAGTCCAACCTCTGACCCATCACCACTTTAGCAACTAGACCAGAGCACTGAGTGCCACCTCCAGGGCATCCTCTCCCAATGTCTATTCACCCTTTCTGTAAGGAAATTCTTCCCAATCCTTCCTTTACTTCTCTGTTGTGAGACAGCTTTGGCTGCCAGAGCGGGATCACTGAGGAAAGGGTTATTGTGTAGGATTTGGGGTGTGCAGGGTTGGGTGTGGGAGCCCTGTGCTGCCCCTGGGGCAGCGTGGGGAGTGCATGGGGCAGGGGCTGTGGGTCTGCAGAGCCAGTCTATCCCTGTCTTCCCTTTATGATACAGGAAACCTTCTCCCTCCCCACAACTCCCCGAAGGAGGCTGTGGTGAGGTGGGGATCGGGAAATGGCCTTGAGTTGTGCCAGGGGAGGTTCAGGTTGGATACTGGGGAAAATTTCTTCACTGAAGGAGTGGCCAAGCCCTGGTACAGCTGCCCAGGACTGTGGTAGAGTCACCATCCCTGGAGGGGTTTAAAAGAAATACAGATGTAATGCTCAGGGACATGGTGGCCTTGGCAGTGCTGGACTCAATGATGCTGGAGGTCTCTTCCAACCTTGATGGTTCTGTGATTCCATAATTTCCATGAGCCCGCATCCACCAGTGCTCTCGTGGAACACTGTTTTCTAGATCCCTGCAAGTCCTGACTTGCAGTCCCCTGTACTTCCAGCTGGTGACAACAGGAGGCAGAGTGTGCAAGGGCAACACTCCCTGTGGCAGCCTCGGGTCCTGCCTCTATCAAACCCGACACCAAATGGTTTTATCTTCATTCCTCTGAACCTCATCTGCTGTAGATAAACCAGTCACGCTGTGCTGTACCTGCCAGGCAAGCCCTGCTCAGCTCCAGGCTCGTGGGTGCTCGGTGCAGAGGGTGTTTTGGGGGAAACAAAGGCATCATTTGGCTGGAATTTGGGACAGGCTGTGTCTTCCTGGGAAGTGCCACCAAATTTCTGGCAACCTCCTGCTTCTCTTGGTTCCATAGTGAGGCTTTTTTGGTGCCCCAAATTGGTTTTGGAAGATTACAGGAGCTGTAGCAGTGTGTTTGTGCCTCGCTGTGGGCTTAGAAACTGTTGGTATCTTTGTGCTGACATTTACCAAAAATATTCATCTGGAGGCATATCCTGGCGTATAAATTTCAGTCCAGGGATTTTAATGGGATTTCACAATGGGATTTCACAATTTCACAGCCCTGATGGTCCTGTAGGACCAACTGTCCTGGGTAATCAGATGAACAGTCCTAGAGGATGCAGACTAAGGGTCCATCTAGACCAGCCTGAATATCTCCAGATGTGGCCACGGCAGGGACCTTGAAGAGAAAGGCCAATATCTGTGCTCCCAATCTGGAATGCACTCCCAGCCCCCAACCATTTTCATTTTCCAAATTGTCTTTGAGCTTCTCCCTCTGAAATTCAAGGCCTGACTCAGCCACTTGGAAATTTCCTTGAGATCACCATGTTCCTTGGCAAGGAGCTCCTTGTGCGAAGAGCTTCCTTCTGTTCCTTTTGAACCTGGCTCTTGCCAGCTCCATTGGATGGTCCATGGTTCCTGCTAAGGAGAAACAGGGACTATTTGCTTTGTCCCTCTTTCTAGGCCCACTCATCATCTTGCAGACTTTAATTCCCACGTGGAAAGTCTCAGTTCTTCTCAAAAGTACATCTCATCCAAATTCTTGCTTGGAGCTGCCCCCCCTGTGATCTCATACCTCCCCCAGTCATTCCATTTCCAGCTGATTTGCTCCCAGTTATACCCAGTTTCCCACATTAGTGGTTAGAGGTGGTGTGGTGGAGCCTGCTGCCTTCAGGGCTGAGCAGAGGCTTCCTCCTGCATCCCAAAAGTGTCCTGGTGAGGGATCCAAAGATACCACGTGTGATTTCTATCAATAGATGAAACACACCATAAGGCAGAGGTTTCACAGCCTCCATAAATAGCCACTCTTTAGGATGTGTGATGTGGAGGAGGTTTTAGAAATCAAAATATTTAGAGATTCACATTATTTGTCTTGGCAGGATGGAGCAGCCAAGACTGAAATACAGAACCTTCGAGGAAGGAACAGAGTTGAGGAAAACAGTGAATAGGGGGAATAGCAGAGGTGTCAAAACCTCCAGGAGCTCCTTTTGGGTGAATGGAAGCAGGAAACCTGGTGTGTCTGAAAGGAGGGAGAATTCATTGACAGTGTTGAGGCACATTTATAGTCCTGATAGAAAATACTGATTTTTTCCAAACAAATCTTGACATTTTGATCAAACCTGTAGCTGAATGTTGCAAGAACATCCAGAACACTCAGCTAAAAGCAGCTCTGAGCTGGGCTGTGTTGGTGTGAGCCATCAGCGAGGAGGCTCCAGCTCATTCCCCAGCCTGTTCTCCTCCTCTCAGTTTTATTCTAGTCCCTGTGTGGAGATGTGTCAGAGGAGTGGAAGGTTGGTCTGAACAGGGGACGTGTTGGGTCTGAGTGTGCTGGTAGGAGCAGGGGGTGGGAGGGGTGGATGTTGGTGGCCCCTGGGTTGGCAGGTCATCATGATCCTCTCCTCATCTCAGCCCGATCTCAACCTCACCTCTCTGAGTGTTTCCCAGTCTCCCAGTCAGTCAGATCTGTGTCCAAGCCTTTTTCTAGCACCTCCAGCCTCAACCTGCCCCCTGTACCCTCAGGCAGGGCTGTCAGCCGAGGTGTGTGACCTTTTTGTCACCTCCCCTGTCTCCTGTGCATGGCCAGCCCTGTGGACAGGGGACCAGGAGTTTCATCCACACTTTCCCCAGCACCCCTGAGCAGCGATGGGGGAAAGAGGATGCCAAGAGCTCCCAAAGCAGGGGAAGTGTGGGAGCAGGGTGAGGGGAACCCTCATGGCTGGGCTGGAGTTGTGGCATGGCTGGATTGGGAATGGGGATGATTGGGAGCTACTGTGCCTCTGCTGGAGGTGTGGCATGGCCAAAGTGGGAATGGGGATGGATGGGAGCTTAATTTCCCTTTGAGTTCCTCCTCTGGGTTCCTGCAAGGCCTCCACTTTGGGCAGGGGCTTCTATTTTGTGATCATCCTCAACAGAGAGACAGGACCCCTTTTGTCACTGGACCATCAGGAATGGCAACCTGCTCTTGTGGCTTTCCCATCGTGCTGTGGTTGTCCAGCACCTGGACATGTTCATTAGCACCATGGAGACCTCACTCCTCCTCCACTCTCCTGAGGCTTTTCCTGGGAGCCAGCAGAGCCCTCTGGTAGGGATGGAGCATTTCCAGCAGGAGTTTTTCTGCCAGTGCAGGGACACCATTCCTGACCCAAACAACATGGGCTAAACCAGCCAGTCTCTTCTCTGTGTGTCTGTGACTGGTGGGACAATGACAGAGCAGTGTCAGGAGGGTGTCGGTGCTGGAACCAAATGATCATCTGAGCCAACTCTGCTGTGCTGATGTGCTCATGAGCTCCTGACCCTCTCTGTGAGCATCAGTGGCTGATTCCCGTGTCCAGGGAGAACTAAGCACTATTTTAGCTGTCACTGGTGATGTAGCAACAGAACCAGTTCCCTAAGGACCAGCTGCAAGGGATGGCCAAGGGCAGAAGAGGAGCCCAGATCTGGGATGGCACCACGCTCCATCTTCTGCTCTGCACGTTTATGCACCGATGGCCTTCAGGGCCCCATGGAGGAAGCCCCTGTTGCCTCAGGGCAGTGCTGCAAGTGGGACCCAGCAGGGCTGTTGTGGGCACTGCCTGGTCAGCCTGGCTCAGGAACGTTCCCTGCTCCAGTTGCTGTGGCAGGGGTGGAATGTCCCGTTTGCCCGTGACGCAGATGTTCTGGGAAACACGAGTGTGTGGCAACCACGGCCGCTCTCCGTCCACTGCCGCGACTTCCAGAGAAGAAATCCACCTACTGATTCTCTGAATCGCTAATTCTGGGTTCTCTAGAGAGTCCTTTGGTCAGGGGAAAGGAAGCGATAGGTCACATCCTGTTCTCTCTCCTTTCATGGTATCATACCATTGATGGGCACTGCTCTCACTGGAGCTCTGGATGGTTCCTCCCCAGGCCCATGTGGTGTCCCTGACACAGCACTTCTCCCATTGTGTCATGGCTTTCACCAGTGTTTCCATCACATTTCCATTTTTGGTCACTGTCTCCCTCTTATAAAGAGGGCTGTACCCAGGGATCCCACACCAGGCACAGCCAGGGGCACCTTGCACCAGTCCAGCCTGACTCCTACAGCTCATCTCCACCCAACAGGACCATGAAGACCTTCACAGCAGCCCTTGCTGTACTTTTTGTGGCTGTCCTCTGCTACCAGGTCTCCTCTTCTCCAAGTGAGTCCAAGCTCTCCTCTCCAAGGAGCTCTCTCCTCTTTCTTTCTGCTGTACAAGGTCTAGTAATGCTTGGCAGCTCTCCCTTCTCAGCACCTGCTGTGGGAAAGGAGAGACATGCCTTGCCTTGGCTCCTTGAGCGGAGGGTGGCTGTGGTGGGAGCCCACTGTGGGAGCAGCACTTCCTCCAGTGGGCATCTTCTCCTCTGACCCCACTTCTCCCCACTGGCACTTTTCCTGATCTGGTGTAATCAGAAAAGTTCACTTCTCTTCCAGTTTCTCTCAACCATTTTGGTCCCTGCTGCACTGAGTTCATCACCAGACCGTTGCCCTTGAGACTTGTGAAGAGCTATGAGCACACAGGCAGCCACTGCTCCCAGCCAGCTGTGATGTGAGTAGATCTCCTGCCCTGCTCCTGGGGGCCCTGCTCATCCTGGCAGTGCCAGGGAACCCCACATCACACCTCATCCTGATGAGGAAAAGCACCAGGCAGGGCTCTCCCACGTGAGGAGAACAGCCTGGGAACAGCTCAGAGGACAATCCCACATCCCAGGCACGCAATTTCTGGATGTCCTCATGAGATTTGAGCCAAAGGAGCTTTTGCTGGTCACCCCCCTCATGCACAGATAGTGGGACCCAGGCAGGATGGTGTCCCTAGGCAGGATGCTGGGGACAAAGTGGCTTAAGTGGCAGAGAGCAGGACATTTGTAATGACATTGAGCCACCCCCCACCCCATTTCCCTGGGGCTGTTTTGCAGCTGTGGAGGTGTCTGCTCTGGTGGGGTTCACTGGTGGCAAGGAGCAAATCGTCCCACTCTCCTCCCCCTCTCCATCTCCCTTTCCCCTCTCCCTCTCCTCTGCTCACTGGATTTCCTTCTCCAGATTCACCACCCTCAAGGACAAGCTGGTCTGTGCCAACCCTGATGAGAAGTGGGTCCAGGACATGGTGACTCAACTAAAGCACAAGGAAGGCAGTGGATGAGCAAAGCCCTGCTCCCTCCAAGCATTACCTCAGCAAGGACCTGCTCTCATGGGCACCTCGAGACAAATCCCTGCTTTCTCATTGCCTGGGAGTTTGGCAGAGTATTTAACACAGTGCTTAGCTCTTTTATTTAAGTTTCTGCAAAGGCAATCTTAATTTATTTGACGTTTTCAGTGAAACTTTTCATTCTCGTTTGTACTGATGGTGTTGAAGTTATTTTTGCATAATAAAAAGAAGCAAAACCTGCAGCTTCTCCCACTGGTTCTTGGGATGCTCCACGGAGACTGCGGAGGGCAGCAGTGACTGGGTCCAGGCTGTCACTCGGGGTCTGTGGGTGGTGGGGTGGCACTTGGCTGTCCCTCAGCCCCTCTGTGCATCCTGCCTGTCCCTCCTGCCTCCTGCCAGGCTGTGCCTGAGCCCCGTCCTGGCCCATACCCAAGCTCCCGCTTTCTGTGGTGAGTGGGTGTCCTGGAGGATGTTTTGGTGTGATGAGGTGAGGGGGTCACTGACCCCAGCCAGCAGGTGACATCGGGGCTCCCGTTGTCCAAGGGCTGCTCAGTAAACACCAGAGACACCCCAAATCCTCCTGCACCCCCAGCCAGTCCATGGCCACGGTTTATTTCTGGCGCTCCCCTGTCTGTCCCGCTCTCCTGGCAGGGTTTTCCTTTCGCTTTGACCCGCCGGGCTGGACGCAGTGCCAGCCTTCGGGGCTGGCTGCAGCTGTCCCGGCCCGTGCCAGCTCCTCCCCCAGCCAGCACGGAGCCTCCGTGGCCGGTGCCACACGGCTGCAAGGCCGGCTTGTCCTCTGGGCTTCCATGGCACTGCCGGAGCTCCCTGGCCGTGGGGCTGTGGCAGCCTGGGAGCCGGCCTTGGCTGGGTGACACCGGGGGAAGGAGGCGCCCGTCGAGGCCACCATGGCCCTGGCAGGTGCCCTGGAGCGGCTGCAGGAGGAGGCCATCTGCCCCATCTGCCTGGAGTACATGAGCGAGCCCGTCAGCATCGACTGCGGGCACAACTTCTGCCGGGGCTGCATTGCCAAGCACTGCCAGGACAAGGGGCTCTGGGCCGACGCGCCCTTCTCGTGCCCGCAGTGCAGGGCCTCCTGCCACCGCAGCGGCCTCCGCCCCAACCGCCAGCTGGCCAACATCGTGGAGGGCATCCGCCAGCTCGGGCTGCGGGGCGGCCTGGGCGCCGAGCCCGACCCGGGCATCCCCCTGTGCCCGCAGCACGACGAGCGCCTCAAGCTGTTCTGCGAGGAGGACGAGGAGCCCATCTGTGTGGTGTGCCGGGAGTCGCTGCTGCACCGCCCGCACACCGTGTACCCCATCGAGGAGGCGGCACAGGCCTACAAGGTACGGCAGGCAGGGGCACCGGGGGGCCCATGGGCATGGCAGCACCGGGGGGGGTCAGCCAGCAGGACCCCACCACCCCTCTGCCAACAGCAGGATGGATGCAGGCTAATCCCTGTGCATCCAGCTCAGGATCCAAGATCATCCAGGTTCACCCTGTCCATCTAGCTCAGGATCCAGGCTCACCCTTTCCATCCAACTCAGGAGGCAGCCTGGCTCCCTACCCCTCCAGGGCTTCCTGGAGAAGCTGGGGCAGTGCAGACCCTCCAGGACCCCCTGGAGAA